AAGTCCATACCTGCTGATCTGAAAACAACTGCCTGTAACCAAAAGCTTTTTAACTAAAAAACATTTGCCCGTTTATCAAATGCTATCAGCAATGAGAAGCCTGCAGCAGATCATATTTGGCTTTCTGGTAGGAATTTTCACTTCCAGGCTTCCAGGTTTGTTAAGAAGAAGGATACAGGAATGCTTTGCAACAACAGTCCAGTAGACGCAGCAACAACTTACAGCCTCCCAAGACCTTCACTGCTACCACTTCCATCACAGGCTGGCTGGGAACTAGACGCTCTCCAGGATTTTCAGATTTATTTTTCCTGCAGTGAGGGGGTGGTTACACTTAGCATGAAGTTCTTCATGGCTAAGAGTAGCATTCAGTCTTCTAACAGGAGGTAATGACACTTACTTAGAACACAGTTCTGCCAGGTCTTGAACGTAGCCCACTAAGTTCATCATATTCAAACGCTTCAAGCTTTGTTCGACCTAAAAATTCAACAAAGTCTTTTGGTCAATACTTTTTTGTTTCTCAATCAATGGGTCTTTGTTAGTATTGCCCATTGTTGATGTGTGGGCCTGCCACACCTGGTGCTAAACCCACTGGCACATATAAATATCTACACAAGGGCAAGGAGGATCTCTAGATGACATTATTGTGAATGTGGACTTTATAGGACTCAGGCAAAGACTATCAACTGATCCTGCACATTCCAGGCAGCATCTTGCAATTGTGGCTATTTAAATTAAGCTTGCAAAAGAAGCTTCAGGAGAAACCAATCAGAAGAATCAGAACAGAAAATCTGGATTCCAACCTCAGTTTTGTTACTGCAACAGGCAGCGTATTTCATACCCATAATGTCAAAAAATTTGAAAGTTGCTTGGAGACCACCTTTGAAAAACTCAGTTTCATCCTGCACATTCAAGTTAGCAGAAACAGTATTTAAGGCAACCTTTGAATTATTCCCCCTTCTCTCAACAGAAATACAAGTTCTGTCCAATCTAATGTTTTATATTGCACTTCTTGAAAGTTGCAAATAAAATGAACTAGAGTAAAAGTTCTGTTATCCAGCATCTTATAAGCCAGCATGCTCCACTAACCGGTATGCCAGCTTGTAAGATAAAACGAAACCAGAAATGCCCACCATGGCGCTTCTGGTTTCTCCGAGCCCCCATTGCTTGGGGCAAAGCAGCTTGCACTGCTGAGCCCCCACAGCCTGGGGGCATAACAGACTGTACAGGACCCACCTCCCTGTCCCATGGAGCCTGCCACGGGAGGGGCGGATGGATGCCCCAGATGCAGCGTGAGAAGCAGTGGTCAGGGGTGCTTAATTAACCGGCATATTTTGTTATCCAGCATCCCCCATTCCCAGGGGATGCTGAATAACAGAGCTTTTACTGTATTTATTTAGGTTTTTAACTGAAGCAGAAAGTGTCTTGTCTTGTATTGTTCCCATTGAAATGAGTGGTAAAATCTCTCACCAGCAGCCAAATTCTCTACCCAGGATCAATAAAACCTAAATTAATGAGATTCATTTAGAATAAAATGCATGTGAACAATGTTATGAAACTTTACCAAAACCCAGATCAAGAATTTCTTCATAACAAGGTTGTAAGAAAAAAATATTAACCAATAATTAGGGTTTAGAAAGCTCATTCCATCAACTATTACTGCAAAATAATATGAACCAGTATGATTTTCCCTGCTGACCTGTTTCAGAGACAGGTAGGTTTTATGATGAGACATTTTGCTGTGGCAGACGTAAAGGATCGCATGCAGGACTCTTCCTTCAGCATCCACAGCTTTGTTGTTCAACCATGTGAGAGTGGCAGAGCACTCTTTACGAACTGCTGGAAGGAATCTCACTGCAGGGGTGGGGGGAGGAAGGGTGAGAGGGAGAGAAAGGAGGATTGTAGGGGAGGAGAAACATTACTGTTTTGCAGTTCCACATGAAATAAGACAGCACAATCATATAACAGTCCACACCCCAAAACCAGATGACCAAACAAATGCATCCCCTAAAGTAAAGCCTGCAACCCTAATCTGTCATCTCCCCTCACACAAAACAGCTTAAAATCCAGAAGGGATTTTTAAAAGCCATTTTCCCCTTCCTGCCTTTTGCTGCCTGCACACCCTTTAGCTGGGACACGGGAACCAGTGTGATGTAGTGGGACAGCGCAAGGGAGTAAGAGAGGAAAGGCAGTAGGTCTGGACTCTAAATGCTCCAAAGGAGCAACAATACAACAATAACCACACAGGGGTGGGTGGGTTTGGAGAAAGAGGGGCAACTGCTTATGGCTTTTCAATAAAAACTTGCAGTCTGTTTTTTTTGGGGGGGGGGGGGGG